TATATATACCGTGTTATTACATCATATATTGCCCATGTTAAGAAATATATATTTATAATTTTGCGATTACAATTTATAATTATTTTTATTTTAATTTAATTATGGTTAAATTATTCATGTCTGTAGATGAAATGTTATTGCAAACATTTTTTGAAGGTTTCTCTCTCTCTTTTTCTTGCAGTATTTCAAGTATAGAACTTTTATTCACATCCTTTATCAATTTAAAAAAGTGAGCGACAATAATTAAGAAGCGGTCAATTTCCGTCGCCGTTTATTGCGGTCGAAACGCGGACGAACGATCATTGCCTACCATATAGCACGCGCAATATCGACCGTCGTTGGCTTAACGCACTCATTAATAATTGTCTCGAACTTGTTTTTCCGACCGTACCGCGTCAGTATAGCGGTTCCGCGGAAAAGTGTGGCCCGTTTTTCACAATGAAACTTCTGCCGGTCTGTCCTCCTCATTTGCATTTTCTCCGGATGAAAGACGAGTTCGTACTTTCGTCACTCGCTATCGTAATTTCCATCTCATTTCGCCGACGGTTTAAATGTCCTTCCCCCCCTATATACTATATACCCTTCATATCCCACGGGGATAAATGCGACAGATAAGACGGACGAACAGACGTTACATGACTGATTTGGGTTCATTTCTGTACGCGTCTGTAAATTAATCCTCGTCATGGCATAGACGGGAATCATCCCCCGGGAAGGGAGAATACAACTTCTTTCATATTAAAAAAAAAAAAATTATAGTCCCCCTATAGAATATATAATATTGCTGAAAAAAGAAAGCGTGTGTGTGTATATATATTATGTGTGTGTGTGTGTGTGTATATCTCATATTTTCATAAAACAATATTAAATACGTCAAAGTTTCTCAAAATAACATTAAATTTAACAGATTTTTCGACGAATAGATCATTAATTGTTACGTTTTCAATTTGTTCCGGGTGTCTTTTCTCGAAACATAATTATTTTCTGCAAACAATTATCAGATCAATTAATTGACTTCATAATTAAAGATTTATAAACATTTGAAGACGACAACCATTTATAGAAGCAAATATTTTGCGCGGTTTATTTATTTAAAATAGAAATTGAAGTGATGGGAATTTAAAATTACTATTCTTTTATGATACATTTACAAGCAATAATTATTTTCTTATATACATTTCTTATATATATATAATTTGAATTTAAATATCTCGCATCGCTATTAAAAATTAATCAAGTAATTAATTTTTATGCTCGCATTCTAGAAAAAGTTATCGGATGATATATAATTGACTATAAGAATTGTTAAATTAAAAATAATTAATAATAATTAATAATAATTGTTTAATAATTATTATCCGCAAGAACCGATGATTGAAAGATCGTAACAAAATGTATTATTTTATTAAATTATAATTACTATTCAGGATATGTAAAAGATAATTAAATATTAATCTTATCAAACTATTTTCGGATACCTGTCGCGGTCGCGTTTTGGAAAGGAATTTGATGGAGCGTCTCGCACTATTACCTTACTGCTCGAGTGTCTTCGTATAAATAATAAGAAGACTGTGATAAGTAAACAATAGCGCGCCAATGTTTACGCCGCCAAGGCCGCATTCCATGTTAGATGTTGCTAATTCGCTGCCGAAAAATATTCTATGTATATATGCGAAATATATATGCGAAATATGAAATTATTTAAAGTACTTGAAATTATAGACCAATTATTTATTAAACCATTAATATATCATCGAGCTTATCGTTATATTAATTATTCGATTTTACAATTCGATCGTTTTACAGCACGTTCTTAATCCAAATTATATCTAGATTATTGAAAAGTCAAATGATATAGTATCGTGGACAAAATATATTTGATTCTATGTGTTGTTGAAGAATTAATTATTGTTCGTAAAGATTGTAACAAAACGATAATTTATAATTTGGTTTTTTATCATTTGAATTCTTATTTGATTAAATGAATAAATTATGAAATATGCGATTCGAGATCTATCGTCGCGATATATATATGTAGTTACATACGGGTATTATTTATAAATGTTAATTAAGTATTAATTATATTATAATAGTAAATAATTTCTCGATATTGGTCACGATCGCGTTTAGCAAAGAAATTTGTCAGAGCGTCTCGTACTACTACCTTACTGCTCGAGTGTCTCCGTATAAATAATAAGAAGACCGTGAGACGTAAACAATAGCGCGCCAATGTTTACGCCGTCAAGGCCTCATACCATGTTAGGTATTGCTAATTCGCTGCCGAAAAATATTCTATGTATACAGGGTATCCTAAAACCGCACTTCCTCTTAATAGTAGATTCCTTAAAACATTTCAAGACGAAAATTTTAATACAAAAATGTCGAGGCTATAATAGTTTTTAAACAGGAAGCGATTATATTTTACGAATGACGGCTGAGATTTCGCGCGATTTCGCGATTTTGTTAATTGATATATTAAATATTTTTCTTTATTATCGTGTATTGAATTTTATACTCGATACAAAAATAAAAAAAGTAATTTGTGAAATATTAATTATATCTTGCACACTGTTATAATTTGAATTTTATATTTGTATGTTATAGATCAACATGGTTTCAATGTAATTAACTCCGATATTACGCATCGATCGGTGAGTCAAACAAACTTTTATTTATAGTAAAAAACGCCAAGTATATATAAGTATAATTTATGTAATATTTTAATTTTTTATTTTTTTAACTTCTATTTCTTGTATGTAAGTGTGTGAATATTTTTTGTGTACTTGCCGGATGTTTTTTACCTGCTTTTGGAAAGGTTTTTTTGTATTGATTAATTATCACATCTTCAATTTTTTAACAAAAAAGATTTTTATAGCACTATATTCTAATTTTTTAATAATAAATTTGTCATAATAAAATCTACTTGAAATTAAATATGAAATAAGATTTTGCGAGATCTTTCTATATAAAAGATTAATAGTCTCTATTAATAATGTTCTTTTTTGTGAATTGATATATTTCGAAGACATGCTTTCGCATTTCCTTTGTTAATCATTTGATGCAAGATTAAGTAGCGCGCAATATGACTATTAAAGCCACTAACAATAAGACAGAAAAGAATATTGGCGTGATCGAAAACAGATCGTCTTTTTCTAGTTTGTTTTGATAAAGAGCTTGACGATATACACGAAGATGCTTTAAAGATATTATATTTTCTTTGATCAAAGTGCATCGCATGCGGATATTAATCTTCCGAAAGCAAAAGATTTTTTACATTTTGTTTTTAATAAATATTAAAAAAGTGGAGAAAACTTTTCGCGGAGATTCATATGTTTGATTTTGTAGAAAGCTAATCTATTAGCAATGTTGAGGATCATTTCGATTTTATCAGTTTTATTATTGTTTACTTTTCTACTTTGTAGATAAATATTGTGCTTCTGATTGCTTTAAAATTATAAAATTTTAAAAATTATCGGTTTGCAATAATTTTATATTTATTTTTTAAATTGATTCTTATTGAAATAATAATAATGGTTTTGTACATACATATAATCACTTTGCGTACATTATGATTATACGTATATATAAATTTTACTGCCTATTCAGATAAAAAAATACATCACTATAAATATTATAAATTATCAAAATCTATAGATATTTTAATAACTTAAAAATAAAATTAAATTATACAGATATTTTCGAAATATTGTATTTGTGTACTTACATCAATCATAAGTCCTCGTCTGCATAAAATCAGCGTAAGCTGGTACGAATTTTTTATATTTTTCTTTATAGTTTAACAATTTTTCTATTAAAAATATAAAAGAGAGATGCAAATCGCAGAATGGAAAATATTATTATTAAAAATAATATGTAACACAATATTTATAATAATTAAATATAATTAATTTTAATATTTATAATAATTATATATGCCATATAAGTCATATATATTAATGGAAAGGCATTATTAAATTTAATTGCGGCTCAATCTCCGCAAAAAGCTCGACCTCTCGGCAATCATTATACTGTTCCGAGAATGCATTATGCGCATGAAAGGACGCACTTTCGCCTTGGTTTCAGTTTTCTCAAAGTATGTTGACCTCGCTTTGGACCGAACAGGGCCGTTTTACTCTCTCGCGTTGGCAACCAAATCAATTTTAGCTCTCTTGACAAAGAGACTGAGCTACAGTTCAGTTTTCTATTGACTGACCTGTAACGCATAAAAGTTTAATATCCTGTCTGTTTCTCCTCGGTATAGTGAATCCCATACATAATTAATCTTTCTTATAATTTTTTTAAATATTTTTTTTCTTCTCTTTCCTCAAGATTTTTTTTTACATTGAAATATCTATTCTTTTTTAACGCAATTTCCAGCCATATATTTTCAGCCATATATTTTCAGTCATATATTTTATACGGTCCGATCTAAATTGATATCGTTATCATTTATTGTCGTCGAGTGAAATCGATAATATTGATACCGTGATCGTAAATGGGAATGGAGGAAACTTCGGAAATAAATTGCAAAGTTGTGTGATCGTGCTGGAAGCGATGAAAAAGTTGTAATAGACGATCAGTGTTTTAATAACGCATTCGAAATGCGGCAATTCTTGGTCATCATATCGCTATCTGCGTTATATGAAGCAGCGAAATAAAATGTTATCTTGCTTTAATCTTTATTGTACAAAAAGGTACGATAGATATCAATATTATGGAATGTCATAAATATTGCGCGGTTTGGTATATTCGAAGCAATAAATAAATAATTATTATATAGAAATTATATATATATATATATATATATATATATAACGAAAATAATACTATAAATAAATTTTAAAAATTATTTTAGAAAAGGGAAGCAAATTTTTTGCAAATAGATTTTGCAAAAGAGTTTATATTGTTATTGTCATATTAAAATAATCTTTTAGAGAATAATATAAGAAATTAAAAATTACAAGAAAAGAATTAGGTGACAATTTAAGATTAATAATATATATTACAGATGCGCCATTTATTATGATTAAAAGTAAATACATCATGAACAAGCCATTGATAAAGACGCATTTATAATATTTGCACTTTTTATGCTTTATACTTTATACTCTGAAGCCTATCGCTCGATAGCTTGATACATGCATGCTCTTATCTAATGCTTATAATATTATTTTTAATTGCATCACAGTTTACACAAGTACGGGCAATTATATTACACAGATTTTATGATAAACGTATTATTCTTGAAAACATCCTCTCCGTTTTGATTTATCCGATCGACAGCCTCTTGATCGCGATGATGAAAGCAACATGACGGTACCTTCCAGGCTTGATTGAAGTTTCTGAAAAATAAAAGCAGAATTTTTATCCCATAAGTAAAATGTAATATGAAATCGATGATAGGGAATTGATAAGAAAATGGCAGATTTATTTTATTAACGCTATATGCATAATATACATAATAAATGTTTTTTCATATATTATTTGTTTTTATATAGAATTTCTCTAAAGAGATTTAATGTTATCAAAAGATATACGTTTACTCAAAGTATGAAGTATCTCTTGTTAGTTAAATATAATAAATTAAATTATATATTAAATAAAAATAGCGTCTTCGCAAATTAAAAAGCATAAGTACATTTTTAAAATATTTTATTATTAATTTTTCGAACGAGTATACATATAGATAGTCGGATGTATATAATTTTCCATAGCGCCAGAAGAAAATTTACTTCACGCAAGTATTATGCGACATACTTTATGTAATATTACTTTATATAATATTTCGCACCATTTAATAAAAACTAATATTTAATTTAATAAAAACATTCTTTATTCTATTTTTTTCACTATAAAATTTTTTTCATAAAAAGGATTTCATAAGAAGTTGAAAATAATAAGCGATTAATAAAATTAAAATATTAAAAAAATTGAAGTAATCAGAATTTTTTAAATCGTCGTGATATTGACTCTATCATTCTATAATATTTTTCCACACTTTGGAAAATTATCTATCACAAAATTTAAGCTGAATTTAATCGAAAAATACTTCTGTAAAATAAATTTTTATTCGCGTAAAGTAAATTTTCTTTCTGCGCCACGGAAAATATGTCTGACTATCTATGTACACTCATATAAAAAATTAAGTATTCCTACGTCAGAATAAAACTATGACATTGATTAATCGACAAACGGCGCAGCTGCGTTTAGCCCTTTGCTTACGAGAAGTTTGATCAAGGCGAGCAGGTAATGCGCTGAATATTAACACGCATCGATTTTGTTCTCTATGTCCATAGAAGAAGTGCATTTTATGCACGGCTTGCAATCTACATCGTTAATGGGTTTCATTAGATGCAAAATAACCAAAATTGCGAACACGAGAAAACTCACATTATAATTAAACGTAGCTATCTCGACCGCCGCTTGATACTTTAAAAATATTCTGTTTTATTCCTATCGTTATTTAGTTTTATTCTAAAGGCTCTATTATATCTTTAAATAAATACTTTTAACAACCTGCTATATACATATATTGTAGTGCTAGAAAAAAGAATGAATTATTTGAACGCTCTGTCGTAATTAAATTTAATTTATAATGTTAGTGTGATTTATGGCGAGTACAAAAAACAATTCTAAAAACAGAATAGAATAAAAGCTCGTAATTTATCAAATCTATCTTGATTTTAAAGTAAATTCTACACGGAGCTTAGTCCGTTCTTGCTTTAAATTCTTCATGTAATAATATTCCCGAAAGGAGCGTGAGGAGGAGAGGGCGGCATAGTAATGATGGTACAATCAAAGGACAAACAAAGGATAATCTCAATGAAGGAATCAAAATAGTACAATCCTACACAACAAGTCCTTTCGTCCTTTGAGGTAGAGAAAGCAGAGAAAGCATTACTGGTCACGACATGGCCACATTGAACCCGGTGGTTCCTTTGGGAAAGCATAATGCAAAGCATAGGTGGACAGACGTCGTTGTTCATGTCGTCAGTCGCAATATGATCGACGACGCGAGTGCAGTGCAATTTCTCAGATGTTAGTATTTCTGTACGAAACGACAACGGTCAACTTGTCATCGTGAATTACCAATTCGCTTGATCGGCAGTCCGTCATTCCTACAACGCGAAACTGCCGCCCGTGTTGTTGGCAGTTTATGCTCCTGTATTGGAATGCTTTTCATTTTTCAATCTCTCCAAGAGATCGTTCCATATACGACTTTTTGCGGCAAAAGTATTTTGTTGCTTATCTCGAAGTTGGGACAATATAATCCGAGATTTATGAAAGTTTTTTTTGCTTCAGTTCTTTAAACAATTCGTTGTTATATTAGTACATTCATTTTTATATTAGTACATATATGTAACAGAAAAGATTATATTTTAATAAAAATTATTCTGATAAGTAATCTTAGACACCGTAGGATGATACTAGGAATTTGGTTTTCTCATTTCTTGGAGAAAAGAAACGATTTTATCACACAAATATTTAATTTTTCATTTTTCAAACTTTTCTAGAAATAATGCTAAAACTATATTTTTGTATATCTGATGGAATATTCAGTATAAAAAGGTTAATATGCGCATGTTGCGAGCACCTCAGCGTCGACCAGCAAATGTAATATGCAGAGTTTGTTGAACGTGTTGTTTGATTATCGAATTCGTCGAAAATGAATAAATGATCGACACCTACACCATTAATTGCAGATTGTTGATTTCGGAATCCAAGTAATTCAAAAAAGCCATCGCATGATTACACGATATTTATGTAAGATGTTTATGTAATCCAAATATTCCAAATATATATTTGTTTATGTAATCCAAATATCCAAATATTAATATAAATAATATTGTTAGTTAGTTGCATCGACATTTGAGATTTGGAAATTATAGGAAGGAAATTATAAATCATATTTATCTTGCTTTGCAATTTTTTAAATTTACAACTTGAGAAATTTGCATCATTTCATATAGTAATATTTTTATAAATAAGAATATATACAAATATTATAAAAAAATCTGATAATTTAATTATTTTGCATCGTACAATTTTAGAAGCAACCTGGCTGCAATATTAATTTCAGTTTGAAAGTGAAGTTTGAAAGTTGGTTAAGTGTTGGACTTGTTAAGTATTTTTAGAAACCAAGAGAATGCTTGTAGTAAGATCGTTTCTCGCGAATCAATCTTTGCTGCAGGCTGCAGTACACGTATTTATTACTTCTTTCTGGATATCTTGGAAATCTCGGAAATATTATCGAAATAGCCGATACATCATTTACACACTTCAAAACATATTGAATTTCTATATTATAGTTATGATAACGAATATTATCGACGATAATATTTGTGTTTATGTGTACGTAATCTTTCAATAATTGTTTATGCCAATAATTATAATTAAAATATGAGGTAAATTCTGCAATTATTTGTCGCATTGTTTATGATTATACACATCTATATCTGGGAAATTGAATTCGTGTAATATTATTTTAGAATAAAATTATTTTAGATATATAATTATTATCCGAAAGATTATAATATATATTACAACAGCTTAAATTCCTGAAACACATTTTTTGATCATTAAAAACGTCCGCGAATAGGGATTCTAAGCACGTACGGGATATATAGAAGATTGTTTGTGTATTTTGAACGGATTGGTTTGAATCTCCATCAAAACCCGAAACGCGGGGAGTTCATAGGACGTGCGCGGAAAAATTTGATTACCACAGAGCTGCATTCATTTATCGGGTACTGAAATACGACTTCCTGGTGGTTGTCCATGGTTAAATCCGTACCACTATTTCAAGAGAAATGCATGCGCCCGATCTCAGAGTAAAGCGGTGAAATAACGTTATGGCCCGCCGGTTTTTCACGTTTTTCACGCGATGTCATCGATAAATTAAAACTCGCTTTTAATGAAAATGATCACACACGCCGTTCAACGATTAATTGCAATTCGCGATTAAACGTCCTCAGCAATATACAAAGTACACAGAGACACTGATTCATTTAAATATTTGATGAACATTTATTCGAAATAGGTTGTGCGTTGTTTTAACATGTCTTTCATGTACAACTTTTCGGTCATTTTGTATGCGCATTGCAATCGTGATTCGTGTTCAACGTACATCAGCAAAGAAGCTTAGTAATATAGGGTAGGTGTATAATACTATATGTAGAATATCCTTGCTTTTAATATGCTCGCCTGCAAAGTGAATTGCATTCGTTATGCAATGTAAATAAAAAAAAAATTGTTGTTGAAAGGACGAGCGTTTGAGCGTGTCTTTAATGTGCCATAAATATTCATGAATTCTTTTGTTAGTATTTATATTTAATATTCTACAGCAGCATATTGATTCAGATCTTTTTATGAAACTTTTTAAACATTTTATGAAATTATATATTGATAAATGGGTATTTTAATATATAATATATTTTTTACCAAGTATAACTCTAAAAAATTAGAACTAAATTATATAAAAAGTGATTATAAAAATATAATTTTACTCTCTCTCTCTCTTCCTCCCCCCCCTCTCTCTTTCTTTCTCTTAATTGTATCCGTCAACGATAATAAATATATAATTTTATATATGCATTTGATTTAATTTTATGGATGTTTTTTAGTTAATGTAAATTTTATACACGATTAATTAAGCGAGATTCAACTTGTATTCATTCAATTAAGAGATATTTCAATTAATTCATTAAACTATTCTGTAACTATTTCCTGCTCGTTTGTATATAGGAATTTTGAGAATATTTTACAAATAAATTTTTGGCTGACCTTTTTTACCTCAAAAATATTTTACTGCGTTATTTTTTATATCTAGATGTGACAAATAAATTTTTTATTTATCAGTTTTTCTTGATAAATATTAGTTTTTATTAATTTTTATTTTTTTCACTTTCTCGATAAAAATATTGATAAAAATAACATTGAAAACGCGAGATGCAAACCTAGAAAATAATCTTTTTCCCAAGTTCGTATATTTCAGTGATTTTAGCAATATGTTTTTTTCATGTATACGATTTTTATTTTTTATTATATTTATTCTTAACATTATAACATTACTATTCCCATTTTTTTTAATGTCTCGTTTATAATTATAACATATTTTTTATTACACAAAAAATTTATTTAAAGTTAATTTTTTAGAATCTTGTGTTCTGCATTTCCATTGTACAATAAGTAAAGAATGATAAAAGTATGATAAAAACAAAGCAAAACGATAAAGGACGATCGTTTGAAAAAACGTGACAACGCCTAAAGAAATAACTTTTACTGTTTTTGCGATAGTAGATACTGTAATATAAACAGCCATTCTTAATCGTAAGAATATACG